CACTCGCGTTTCTCTCGTTCTCTTTCCCACAAAACTTTCTCATGCTCTCTCTGCCACTGTCTGTCTTTCTCGCTTATTTCACTATCTTCACTAATCTGTGTATTTTCTACTGTATTTATACTTTGTTCCATGAAAACAGACTGTTCGAATGTTTTTTCTTTAACAAAATGTTCCTTGATTAAATCGTATACTTCGCGTTTTCTGAAGGCACTTCTTATTTCTAGCCCTAAATGCTTGGCTAGCGTAACTAGGTTATCTTTACGCAGGCTATTAAAATTTTCTATGGTTGGTTCCACCATAAATTCGCCGGGGTTAAATTCTGACATGCTTATTTAATTAAGATCAATTAAGGTATCAGGTTTCACACTTAACACTATGACGCATGCAGAATGTATTCCTCAAATTCCGCTTAATTAATATCTTATCAATGAAATGACTTTCCAATTTTTATTTGTTTTAACTTGAAATGCTAATTTTCTTTTGGAGCATGCAACTGTTTAGACTGGTTTTACTCTTTCCCGCCTGAGCCCCCAACTGTTATGGTGCGTTATTTATGCGTCAAATATATTTTCCAATTAGGTATATTTTCAACCTTTAGGCTTCGGGTTCAAATTATATTAACGCTACCGTAACACAAATAGCATGAAACCTTATACCTTTTATATATTTTATTTACTTTCAACAATATGAAATAGCGTCTCTATAATGTTATAATAATATAGTAATCTTAATATATCAACTTATCTCTCTATTTGTTTCAGCTGAGCACAACTTTGAATCTTTATTCTTTATACTTTGTATTCCGTCTTCTTTAATAATAATTATTCCACAATATTCCAATGTTCTTCAGTTTACTTGACGAGGCTTAATTATCTAGCCTTTTAATTATATACCTCAGCCTTTGTTGGCTTATGAAGTATTTTAGCCTAAATGGCTCTTCTCACTTCACTCTCCGCTCTCGACTCTCAGGTTGTGCTCAGCTTTTATAATAAATTTTAGAGGAAGAAATCTGTAACTATGACTAATTTCCTCTACGCAATATGTTTGTTAAAGCAAGTTCTAGCAGTGTTTATCAACCACAAAACTATGTCCTGTTTGCGTGGTTTGTGGTACTAGGCGTTTCCCGTGGTTCTTTAATCTCTCTAAATATTTGCTTATTCATGCGAGGAAGGTTGCCTAAGGTCTTCCTCTTATAATTATAACAGTATGCTGAATATATAGTATTGAATATAGTATTGAATATATTAAATAACATGGTATAACACTGCCATGTTACAATAAGAAGAAAGAAATTGTGAGCATTATTGTATACAATTGTGTGTTCCAATCAACCTCGTTCCCAGGTTCTTTGCTCTTGGGAAGCAAAGACCCTGGTCGGAGCTGGTCACGTGAACCCCCAGATATTTGGGGTAAATTGAATTTGACCTCAGGGAGGGGTAGTAGAGGAGTCTGTTTGTTGCGTTTGGAAAATTGCAACTTTATGTGTTATAATTCCGGCTGATAAAAATGTAATTTGCAGCAAGAGATTGTGAGAGGAACTGTTCTAAATTCGTATCGATCATGACTTCCTGCTATACTGAATGTCATCAATAATAAGTGTTGCGTTACATTTCAAGCGAGAAGCTGGATCATATTTCACTTGCATGGAAAACACTCCACACGCGCCTGGCTCACGAAGTTTAGCACTTAGCGCCGTAGAAACATACATATCTTCTATACAGACTGATCGATCAAACGGTATTAATTAAACGAACGATGTGGTTCTTCATAGTTGAAGTGTATCCTGTCCGATATTCAAAACAAAAGATTTATTTTATAACGGGATCCTTTGATTTCCCAAACATCGCCAACATGTGTAAACAATAGTGCTATTTTGAATGTAAAACCACAGGATTAAAACCCGTTATGGACTGGCTATAAAATTCATTTCATTTACATTGCTGAAACTCAACGATCAAGAAAGATAATGTCGAAGTGTAGCTAGCTATCTGTTATCACACAAACGCCAAGACTCCTCCGTGCGTTTCTGTGCGTGCGGTACAACTTGAATATCTAGGACGATATATGCACCAGACACTGGTATTGTACTTTATATAAATTATTTCATATTTTGTGTATATAGTAATTTGCAAATGTATAATATTAGACCTTTCATTGACATTGGCATTGTCCATTGAGGGCTTTATTGAAGAATAATCCAGCTTCAATCTTTACACTTGTATAATGGATTAATGGCGCTGTGAGTTATCAATATTTAAATCAACTTTAATCCTTATCGTAATCTGTAACCGACATTTTAGAGTTCTGCTGTCATTCCTTTGCATTTAAGGGGAGAGGGTAAATGGCGATATAATTTATAGGAGATACTGTGCAATATTTTGGCTTCAACAAACAGGTACTCGTGCAGACAAAAGAGAAAATTCATGCAGTTGTGAATTGTCGTATGTCAGCTGTGCACTGTCGATTTCAAACAATTTTGTACGTTATATTTTGTCTTCCTGGTGTTTAATATAAACGATGATAACCTTTTAAAAAAAAATCTAGAGCAATATGTCTATAAACAGTTTAAGTCAATAGAATGGACATTCAATGTGTATTTGGCTTGTGTCCAAATGTGTCAAGGCGCTAATCCTACGACCTATAAACAGTCGCTTTCGAGACATCTGTTTAACAAAATTTATACCATGTCATATCAGAACAATTCATTGGCATATTATAAGCATATTATAAATATCAGAGCTAGAACAGAAACGTATGCGTGAAATAAAACTACGCCCGAACCGGCGAACCCCGAGAAAATAAAAATATTTCAGAGCGTACAGTCATACGTTCTCGTTGCTTGATTTCCTGAATTTTCTGTTGCTATAAGAATCTGCATTTTAGCATGTTTGTATAATTTAAAAGCAAACAGAAACCAATTTAGCAAGTAGTTTGAGGTATATATGATTCTTGAAGATGAATTAGATGATTGTACAGAACGGCCACTCCTTGCAATTGAAGTGCGAAGTGCGGAAGTGGAAACATGTAATATGAGACTTTTCCATCCCCCTCTTGGGCTATCAATTTTCTATGGGTCACGTGACCAGCTCCGACCAGGGTCTTTGCTTCCCAAGAGCAAAGAGCCTGGGAACGAGGTTGTGTTCCAATGTGGGCATCATACTGCTCGATTTAATAGTAGTCATCACCCAGGAAAATAAAACAATTGCAAATGGCCACTATCGAAATTGTCCCAGGTCATGACTATTAAGACCAGTATTTCTCGCAGGCATCAAGCCTTGAGACTTCATTATGCATAAGTTATTTGATATACAGTAAAGCCCCACCAGTAGGTTAAGAACCACTATAATCTGAAATTTTGGCAATTAAGCACCCAAAATACAAGTTTTTAAAAACTTTTTAAGTTTGGATATATGTCACAACAACCATATTAGTGTCATAGCAATAGTTTTATGCAACAACAGTTCCTATTTAATATGTAGAATATAAAAAAGTATTGTGTGAAGCAAGTCAAAATTCACTGAACTTTTATGCGGGGCTTTACTGTATATCATAATCACACATAATATATATGAACTATTTTTATTGGCAATTTTCGTATTGACACACAACCTATATATTTGTAACTTTTGATATAAAATACCTTGATGACTTGATCTTTTGACAACACGAAACAACTTTATTATTGCCAACGATTGCACAGCTAGCGAGATCACACTTCGCTAGTATAAAATATAAAAATATAGCGAGTTCACACTTCGCTAGCATAAATATTATAGCGAGATCACACTTCGCAGTAGCAAGTTTGGTATAAATACAAGTACAGCGAGCTCACACTTCACTGCTTTTGAAACACATAAAATGAACGGTTCCCTTTGATTTGATTTGACCAAAATATCCCCGCGAACACACACCAAAATATACACCTAGAAGGGATAGAAATGTTGTAAATGTAAGTACAGTCGATGTATATATTAACTGCTTCATATTTAATACTGTAGACAGAAATGTTGTATATGTAAATACAGTCGATGTATATTACTGTAAAACCTATAGCAATTCAAGATAAATATAAACATATAACATTTCAGGATAACTTACTTTGAAATGACAACCCAAAACGGAAAGAGTATTCGATATTTTTTGAAAAAATGTTGTTGTATTTGAACTTGCCAACCACACAACGAGACTGATTCGGGAAGAAACCGGAAGTTATGCACTGAAACAAATCATACGTCACAAAACGTCATCAATCCATTGTTCTAAAATCTCGATTTTTTCTCCCTGTCTCTTCCACATAACTCGCGGAAAGCCTGGGACCGACAGAATTAGTATGCTGCCTCTACGAGGCAGCAAAAATTATCGTGTTACCATGACAACTACTTTAGATACTTCATGTTCGGAAAATACAACGGTTTTGTCAGCAAGGCGAGGGTTTCTGCATGCATGTATTTTCTAGTTAAGTTATGATGTTAGTTGCATTTCGGAGATTAGTCCTTCAATGCGTAAAGCCAGCTATTAGTCTGGCAATGTTGTATGTGAATGTTGTGGTTTCCCACGTTTTACGATTCCACTCGTGTAACGTTATGTAGTGGTTTTTGAGTTGTTTTCAGACGAGTGTATACCAAACCGGGCAAGCAGAAAATTCTACTTGATCGCGGCTGGGATTCGAACCCGCGACCTTCGCATTTCTAGAACGATGCTCTACTGTCTGAGCTACAAGGTCAAGCTGAGAACGACTTGTTAAGTTATGATGTTAGTTGCATTTCGGAGATTAGTCATTCAATGCGTAAAGCCAGCTATTAGTCTGGCAATGTTGTATGTGAATGTTGTGGTTTCCCACGTTTTACGATTCCACTCGTTTAACGTTACACGAGTGGAATCGTAAAACGTGGGAAACCACAACATTCACATACAACATTGCCAGACTAATATCTGGCTTTACGCATTGAAGGACTAATCTCCGAAATGCAACTAACATCATAACTTAACAAGTTGTTCTCAGCTTGACCTTGTAGCTCAGACGGTAGAGCATCGTTCTAGAAATGCGAAGGTCGCGGGTTCGAATCCCAGCCGCG